CAATGAGTGCTTGAAATATTCAGTTTCATTGATTGAAGATTTGGTGACTTAAATACACATCACATTCACTTTCGCTTCCCAAATATTCTTTCAGTGGGTTGCTGATCAATATTCAGTTTTCGTACATGGAGCTTTCATTCGTTTTCTGTGAGCTTCTAGTCAATATCAAAAGCAGTCGCATCTCTCTTCGATTGGGAAGCTTTGCATTTCATTCTGTAGGTAGCTGTTCTCCTTCGTTATTTGCTGTGGAAAAGAGGAAATTTTTGAGGACTGAGCCAGTAGGGTATATGGAGCATGCATACTGACTTATTTCTACCGAACTCAGTATACTTTTTGACGGTTGTGTCTAGAGGCAGAGTCAATTTTGAGGCTGATGAACCGATCTTTTATTTCTGCTGCTATAGCCTCACGAATCCTGCCAGCAATTTCTTTGACCGTAGCCTTCATATTTGTTGGATTCATTGTTACGCCAACAGCTAATGCCAAAGGATCTTGGAGTTTCTTAAATCCTTCCCATTGCATTGGTACGAAATCAGTTTCACAAATGAATCCATAAACAATAATTTGTCAATTAGTACAGGACGTTTTGCCACAGCTCGCTGCTTCTTTGCCGGTGTTTCCCCTACCTTGGTTATCCCGTTCGCCATGTCGAATGAAGTTTCTAATGTCCAGTTTAGCTTGAGTATATTTGCACGTAGTTCCTGGATCAATAGCACATGAAGTCTTTGCTCCATCTCCTCGAATGAAGCCTTTCGCAATATCGGCGAGAGTCACTTTATTTTCACTACGCTGTTTACTAGAGTGATGCAAAATTTGAAATTTTCGCTCCACAATACTTAAACGATTACAAATCGGATCCTGACTAACCTCTCAAAATTTGAACCCATTTGGTGAAAAAATGAGATGGCACAAACCATTTGAAGTTTGCATGGGAATTACTATAGTAAAACCAAGATTTTTGTTCATGTCTATCCAGGGTTACTTCCACTCACTTGCTATAAAAAAATGTTTTTCGGAATTATGAAATCATGATATAGTATAATACTAATTAGTACTTGCAAGTTACAAGAAGAGGTCATGAAGTATATGTAAGACACATAAAATCTGCCAAAATTGCTTTCAGTGCGTCACAATCAGCGATTTTACGACTCGTGAGCGCTCACTCTGAGTGAACGCTCACGAGTCATAAGATCGCTAATTGTGACGCTCTCAATGCGAAATTGACAGGTTTTATGAGTCAAACACATACTTTACTACTTCTTCTTGTTACTTACAAGTACAACATAGCATTATTGCATCTAATGATTGCATAATTCCGAATAATATTTTTTCATAGCAAGTGAGTGGAAGCAACCCTGTGTCTATCTAATAATTCACCATATCGGTCTGCTTCAAAAGTTTTCAACTGTACTTGTAGGAAATTTTTTCCAGTTACAACTTTGCTCAAGACCACTTTTTAATAAAATGCAAGGACCGAAAGTTATCAATGGTTCAATGCGCTGATGTCTTATGATCATGCTCAATCAACTGCTCAGCAGGCAACATTGGTGTTTCTGGGGCGTTGAATAGGACACACAAATCATGGCTACTATGTCACACTGCAAAATACAGTGTTGCCTTCAGAACAGCTGCTTGATCATGTCATAAGTTTACCAATGTCTTAAATAATTAATAACTTTTTGCTGTCTCGTTTAACATAGAAACGATCTTCAGCAAAGTTGTAGCTGAGAAAATTTTCTATAAGAGTGGTTATCGAACTGTTTCCCAGCTAAATATGGAAAAAGACTAGAAGGCAATGCACAAAAAGTTGAGATTTCCCATAGTAATTTACATGTAAACTTCAAATGGTTTGTGCGAAGTCTGTTTCTAACCAAATGAGTTGTAACTTTGAGAGGCTAATCATGACCCGATTTTAAACCATTTAAGCACTGTGGAGCGAAAAAGTCAAATTTTGCATCAGTCTACTGTTTACCTTTCTTTCCTCACCTTTAACAGCTGACGATACAGATGTCGACAGGTTTTGATTTTACGCAGAGAACCACTGATGGCACTGAATGCATTCAACGAAAATTTTCAATGAACTTCTTCAACGAGTGGAATGCGAATGAATTTTGCAACCAAATGTAATTGAGCCTTTAAATGCTTGAATGAAGGCGGACGCAGCGAAAGCGAACGGACGAACGACAATGAATGCGTCGGTACGAAACGAAAGCTTTTCTTTATTCCTTCACCTTTGTTTATACTCATTCGTATGCAGGAAACGATTGTGTGTGTACACGAATGAATGTGATTTTTTCTTCGGCATTCGATTTAGGTTTTCGAATATTTGAGGCACTGGTTTCACAAGTCTGGAATAGTTTCGGAAAATAGGTTTACTTAGCTGCGGTAACGCCAAGAGAAAATCGATGAAGAGAATCGATCATCGCAATTAGGCCCTTATGGTTCTGAACGCTAGATCTAAGAGATCTGGATCAACAATGGAAAAGGGCCCATCAGCATTTATAAACAAACCGTTCCAAAGCTCATTCCTCACAAATCGAAGGCCGCCCTCACAAACCAACACCATCATCGTGTAGGTAGAAGTTTCCCCTATCCGATGATGGTGTTGGTTTGCGTGGGTAAATGGGCTTTGGAACGGTTTGTTTACAAATGTTGATGGGCCTCTTTTCTATTGTGGATCCAGAGATGTGATTTGAAATGTTGGGCAACCATGTGGGTGGCGCATAGAGTGTTGTTGGATTCACTCAAAATTGAGGGTGGCTTCAAAGCATCAGATGAGCGCATGGAGCGTTCTTGGGTCCACTCAAAATTGTTAGTGACTTCCAGCCATTGTTGATGAAAGTGAGATGAAAATTGTGCTATATTCCAGTTATTGCTATATGTGACCATCATCAGGAAACAGGAATAACATTATCAGGCTTGCTTCCACTCACTTGGTATAAAAATTTGTTTTAGGGAATTATGAAACCATTAGATGTTACAATGATAATTAATACTTGTATGTTACAAGAAGAGGTTAAAAATTGTGTGTTTGACACTTAAAACTTTTCAATATTTCTTTCAGGGTGCCACAATCAGCGAAGCGAACTTAACGATTTGTAGATAACAAAAACTGCGGAACGCAAAAAAAAAAACAAAAAATAACTACGTATTACTAAAATTGAGATTGAATACAGAATCGCCAGAATGACGAAAACGTTAATTAATACATTAATGGACATAAGTAAACTAATTGGGCATTTTTAAAAGAAATTTAAACGATCTTAATGATTTCTTTCGTTCTAATAAATCGAATCACTGCAATGTCAATCTATAGCAGCCCTAAGTATGCACTTTTAGAAATGATAAAACGATCCATATAAAAATTAAAAACACTCAATAAAAAACACCAAAATGTATTATAGAATCCCGGTAGAAATCCCTAAAATAGTATGAATGATAAAAAAATATCAATATGACCCATGGAATGTAAAATTTAGCAATACAATTAAAAAAAAAACGCTCAAGAACATTGAAATTGAACATATTGCATATGATCCATAAAACGATCAAAAATGAACCATAAACTAAAGAAAACGATCCATAGACAAGTTTGAGAACGAACCAATATTGGTATTATCTAAAAGACCGTCTTAAAAAGATTATTTTGGAAGCTTCTTTTGGAAGCTTATTAGACGTTTGTTCGTTGCTCCGCTCCTTTCACTAAAAAAAAACATGGACAGGACAGTAAATCTGAGTAAAGGTGCAATTTTCCTAGATTTATGGATCAAAATTGAATAATTGGTGTTCAAAACATAAAAAATATACGTCTAATTTTTGGATCATACCTGTATTTTATAGTGCCCAAACTTGATTTTCAATTAATCCATAAAAGCTTATAGCCCAAGTAACATTGCAAGTTTTATTGAGGTTTTAAAGCACTCTACAAGTCTAAATCATGGTCTACAGAACCTTCATAAAACCCTAATTGTTACTTGTGAGAAATTGTGTTACTAAATTTAACATAAAATATGGATCATATTGATATTATTTATGGATTTTCACACCTGTTTAGGGATTTTCAATGGAATTTTATGCATCATTTGAGTGTTTTTAGGGAGCGTTTTCCAATTCTTTATTGACTATTTATTAGTTTCTATATGCAAAATCATATTTGTCTCAATCTACCTAAACACCATCAAATTTACTGAATCACCTATTAATCAAAACACTCTTCAATCAACAAATAACAACCACACTCGCCGAAACATCGTCCAGTGCTACCTCCACTTGACCTCGAACACCGAAACATCCGGAATCCGGATCATGCACACCAAAGCTCTGAACGCCAGACCAGCATGACTCAGGCTTCCACGGTGATGGTGACCGACGAGCCTACAGTCGTCAACTAGTCGGTCAAGTACGTTCATTACATAAGGCCACTAGCAAACAGTGTGCCGCTGTGCGGTCACCTCGAGGAATGCTTTCAAGATCATTCCACTCGTGACAAATCTTCAAAGTGAGCTGAATCCATCCCTTTCAACTTACTTATTTTTCTTAAGAATCATTAGCATTCACAATCCCGTGGACAGACATGTAAATTCAATTAGACTCACAGCTTAGCCACTTGCGCTTAGCTATGGGCTTTGATTCGATTGTGTGGATTAGTAGACGTGAACTAGAGAAGCTTCGGCGCGCTCGGTGCAGTTTCATAACGCTTGAAATCAATTGGTTCCCACAAAGTCGAACGCCGCTGCCTTGTTTTCGCGAAATAGAGCGAGGGAAATCTAAATGCGCAACGCACAACACCCCTCATCGACAATAGGCAGTTGGCGGTCGTGTCTCGCGGGCTTGCATTGGAAAAAATCTCCCTGAAGTTCAGGGTCGTGTGCCGTTCAAATGAACATACAAACTATAATGGATCAGTGTTGCTGCGTATTTACCTACGGTGAAACCTGTTTTCGAAGTTTACAACTTTTGCGTCTCTTTTTTTCCTTCCCTGTTTACTCTTCACCGTGTAGGTGAATTAAAACGGTGATCATAATGAACGATCAACAATCAGGCAGTGGTTCTATTCAGGCGAGTAAAATCCTTTCGCTGTGCTGGAGTGCCGGAACTGCGGCAGCTTCCTATTACGATGTTGATCAGATGGAAATGTATGCCATTCAGCAAGCTTTTGACCCGAGACCTCAATACGTGCTGGTTAGAAATCTGATTCGACAATATAATCCTCTGTTTCATTTGGTTTCGGGATCAAAAGACTTTTTGGAAGACGTTCATGAGATTCTGAATCTACCGGACGGAACGATGCTGCAGAATCTAAATTCAGGAAGTATTACAGTCGAAGAGAGGGCTCGCCATTGTGACTTTGGACCCAAAGCGATCAAGGCAAGTGCGGTCAAAGTATTGGCTATGAATCTACCGGGAATTCCTCAGCAAGCATCAGAAGCAGAACGCCGACTGTTCATGGAGAGCGTCCTACCATTCAGTCAGGACTTGTTGATCCATGCCGTGGGGTGCCTATTGAAGTTGTTGGATGGCCTAGCATCAGAAAACGATGGCCTTATGGTGTCAAAAATAAACATTCTCGCTCCGGAAACCCTGCTGGTTATCGATGAACTAACCTACCAAGCTTTGCAGATCTTCGATTCGCGTCTGCATCCCTCCGGTTTCAAGCGAAACATGGAAAACAGCTCGTGTTCTCTATTCAACCTTTTCAACAGATGTTCGTCCAAAATTGGGAAAATGGAACTGAAGAGCATCATGCAACAACCGATTCGGGATGTGGTGGAACTCAATCGGCGGTTCGATACGGTGGAGTGGATGATTGATACCCGCAATACCAGTAGGTCTGACGAAATGCGTAGTTACATAACAAATTTGACCAGAATTCAGCCATTGTATAGGAAGATCGCTGCAAAACGAGCGAAGAACAATGAGTGGAAGTCACTGAAGAAGAACATCTACTACGTGTATCTGCTTTGTAAGCTCTGCTTCGCAGTGAAAGAACCATCCAACGGCACGACTCCAATCGCTGATTTAGCAGAGTTTGTTTCACAACCGCAAGGTACACTTAAGCAACTGCTCTATACCCTGGATGAGGTTGTAGATCTGGTACGTGGTGAACGGGACAACAAGTTTACCGTTAAACCTGGCATCGATCAAGAACTGGACGCGCATAGACGCCAACTAGATGAAACGCAGACAGCTCTGCTGGAAACCTCACGTCTAGATATCGAAAACCTTCCAATCGATGCGAACGACGTCTTTGTGACATTCCTTCCAGGGTATGGTTTCGTGTTCAGTACCACACGGAACGGTGACCTGCAGGACCTATCCGGTACATCTATGAACTTTGTGTACCAATCGGACACCACGGTGTACTTCCAGAATAATCTATGCCGCGAACTCAATACTACATTTGGAGATTTGTTGGCTTCCGTTAGCGAGCGTGAACAGTTGATGCTCGAAAAGCTCGTCGTCTACATTGATCAAGTCATATCCGAATTGATAGACGTTTTCAATACGGCTGCCAAGTTAGATGTGTTGTTGGCATTCGCATCGGTTTCCTCATCCCAAGACTTTTCACGCCCCGTGGTATGTGATCAGAAAATTCTTAAGATCAAACGAGGTAGGCACCCGCTGCTGGAGCAAATCAAACCATACCAGGCAAATGATACCGATCTTAGTTCCGATAGTGAATGCTTTGTCAAAATTTTTACATCCGCTGAACCATCGGGGAAAACGATCTACCTCAAAGAAATAGCCATGATTTGCTATCTAGCACACATTGGGTCTTTTGTTCCCGCACAGTCAGCAACTATTGGATTACTGGACTCGCTGTACTCTCGACTGGATTTCCCAGAATCGGTATACAGTGGAAAGTCCTCGTTCATGGGAGAACTGTACCAGATGTCTAACATCCTCTCCAACACCACAACCCGATCTTTGGTGCTAATCGACGAATTCGGCAAAGGCACTACATATTCCGAAGGAAAGTCCCTCCTGATCTCCAGTTTGGAACATCTGCTAGCGAAGGGCTCCGAAGTTCCAATCACAATCGTTGCGACGCAGTTCACTCCTATATCGAACTACCTCCATGGCTATCGTTTCTTACGTATATATTCTACCCAAACCGATAGTTCCACCGACCAAGACCAAATATCAGCTGACCCCAATCACCAGTAAGTCCTTCATTGAATGCCATCAAATATAACCTTCATTAGAAATATATTTCCAGCCATAAAGAACTCATCGCCTCCGTCATCCAATCGCTGACCCTAACCCTGACGAAGAAATTCCTCGACAGAGACCAGGCCGATCCAGCACTTGTCGCCCAGCTGTACCATTCTGTTTCCGTCACGCAGGTTCCACTCCGGCGCAGTTGAAGGTCACCCCGAATCCAGTACTAAACTGTGAATAATCCTCAACCTGGAACCTCGCGCCGCCGATGTTTTGGAACAAAATATACTCACTGACTTATTTACCATTCATTACTTGCGGACACTTTGATTACTACTAGATTATTCATCCTCCCAATCACATACAGACACACCACTGCGTAGTCTTTGGCAAGGACGTTGAAAACATTTATCTAGTTCTCACCGGACGCTCTAAGCACACAATAGATTCTTATACCAGCCATCCTAGCCGTCGTGAGCCGGTGTACACGCAGTATGGCAGAGTATCGCATACATGTGAACCACCCACCCGCGTCACCGGTAGGACAAAGATTTCAATCAATAGCGCATAACGGCACTGATTCACATGTCTATAATTAATGAAATATTGATTATTCCATACTTTTTTTTTATCGTTCGCTCAACGCGTGTTATTCCGGATGGAACCTTCCCCTACGCCATTGGTTGGGGCTGAACGACTGGCGACCGAAGACCACGCGTGGTGAGGTGGTGTCGTTGACAGCGAAGAAGGTGAACCTTGTACATTACTTTCAATTTTATTTCCATTGATGTTCCATTGTCGGGTCCCCGTATGTGTTGTCGAGTTCAATACGGGTTCATATGTGATATGTTTCTGGTACGGTGATGGAATTTCATTCCTAGTTGTCAGAAGATAGCATGTTGAGCCACAGACTAACGGAGGTAACTCTTGAGTCTATACCATAGTACATAAGCGCATAAATATAATGTTCAATTTGAATATTATTAGTTTCGCGAATTGCCACCTCACTGGATCACTGTAACTTTGCGACTGCCAACAATTTTATGGCCCATGGATAACTCGCGAGGTGTCGTTTCCTTCAAACGTAGTTTTAAGTGTTTACGTCTGTTTGACTGGGGTTTGATGTTTTTTTTTAACTAGTTCGTTTATTTACTAGGCTCAGTCGTGTGTGACACTTTGCGGAGCCAAAATCAGTAATGTTTGATTTACATTTTAAATAGCAGTATTTCTAGGTTAGTATTGGGTACCAATTACTCGTGGCGGGTTCGAGGTTAATGGGTAACAATTTCGATTGGAAGGATCTAGGTAGGAAACTGGTTTCTGAAGCCTACTTCAGATACTACTCTCGGACGGTTGACCAAATCCTGGCTGGGCAGGGGCAAGAAGCACAGGAACAGGAGGATAATAAGACTGGGACACAATGGCGAGAAATTGTTTGGAAAGGAGGGGATAGGCACATCAAACTCTAACATCAGACAAACAAAGGAATTCATACATATACATATATTGCTGTCATCGAGGTTTATTCTATAGAGATGTGCGTCTAGCGAGTAGTGGTTGGACATAAGTCTTGACATCACTCGAATGAATCCCCGACTTACATCCAGACCTTTGAACCACGCTCTCGAAGAAACATTTGGAATAATGGAATGTTACCACCGCCCAAGAGAATTATTTGTCCAATCGTTTTGCCAACTTAAAAGAGAACTCTGACGTACTAACGGGAAAAATTCATCATGTGAAATTCTTCTATCATAAATCTCGCCTTGTTGTGCGCTCACCTTTGCGAGAGAGTCTGCCTTATCATTGCTTGGGATTGAGCAATGTGAGGGGACCTATACAAAGGTAATCATATATGATCTTTCGACCAGCAAACTCATCTGCTCCCTTACCTTTGAAAGGAAATAAGATGAGTGCCTACCTTGTTTCATCGACCGAATAGCCTCAATCGAACTGAGACTATCCGAGAAGATGAAGTAATGGTCTATGGGCATATCGGAAATCATCCCCAATGCGAAGTTGATTACTGCTAGCTCAGCAACATAAACGGAACAAGGTTCCTGAAGTTTCCGAAAGGCGGTTGAGTATTCATTGAAGACGCCGAAGCCAGTGGATCCATCAATGCGTGATCCATCAGTGAAAAATCTTCTATTGCAATTGACTTGTTGGTACTTTTCAGCAAAAATGCGGGGAATTGAGATAGGTCGAAGTTGATCTGGAACTCCTTGAATAGCCTGTTTCATGGAGAGATCATAGTCAATGGGGGAACTGTAGTTAGTAAAGCATACACGAGAGGGGTTATAGCAAGGAAGGCTAATATCCGATGACATATAATTAAGATAGATTCGCACGAATCTAGACTGGATGCTCAATTCGAGCATTTCTTCAAAGTTTTCAATCACAAGGTTGTTACTGACACTACATTTAATCAATATTCTTAATGAGAGCTCCCAGAAACGGTTCTGCATGGGTTTTACGCCCGCTAGGACCTCTAGGCTCATATTGTGTGTTGAATGCATACAGCCAAGGGCAATACGTAAACAACGATATTGAATACGTTCCAATTTGATTAGGTAGCTTTTTCTTGCCGAGAGGAAGCAAGAAGAGCCATACTCAAGAACTGAAAGAATAGTCGTTTTATATAGTTTAATGAGGTCTTCCGGATGAGCACCCCACCATGTCCCGGAAATTGATCGTAGAAAGTTGATCCTTTGTTGACACTTTTGTTTCAAATACGTAATGTGGGTACCCCAAGTGCATTTTGAACCAGACTCCAAGGTATTTGAAGGTTAAAGATTGGGTAATGTTTCTGTCCAAAATATTTAGACGCATTTGGGCTGGAAACCGCTTCCTTGTAAACACTACCAATTCAGTTTTTTGCGGTGAAAACTCGACCCCTAAATTTATTGCCCAGAGAGAAAGATTATTTAGGGAATTTTGCAATGGTCTTTGCAAGATTTCTGCACGTGGACCTCTCATGGAAACCACGGCATCATCTGCAAGCTGTCTAAGCGTGCATTGATTATCTAAGCAGTTATCAATATCTTTGACATAGAAATTATAAAGTAAGGGACTTAAACATGAACCTTGGGGTAAGCCCATGTAGCTAATTCTAGAAGTTGTCAGTTGACCTAGATTGAAGGTCATTTGTTTTTCTGACAGCAAATTATACAAGAAATTATTCAAAATACCGGGTAATCCACTACTGTGCAAATTGTCTGACAGTATGTCTATGGAATCCGAATCAAATGCGCCCTTAATATCCAAAAAGACTGAAGCCAATTGCTCCTTGTGCGCAAAGTCCAGTTGAATATCAGATGAAAGCATCGCTAGACAATCGTTTGTTCCTTTACTCTTCCGGAAACCAAATTGCGTATTTGAAAGTAGATTGTTTGATTCAACCCAATGGTCAAGTCTTAATAGGATCATTTTTTCTAATAATTTCCTCAGACATGATAACATAGAGATCGGACGGTAAGAATTGTGATCAGACGCTGGTTTCCCAGGCTTTTGAATAGCTATTGCTTTAACCTGTCTCCATGCTCGTGGAACTATATTTAATTCCATAAATGAATTATATAGGTTAAGTAATCGTCTTTTAGCGATATCGGGGAGATTAGAAGGTCAAATTTGATCATATCGCTTCCCGGAGCAGAGTTATTCGATGAAAGAAGTGCCATTGAAAATTCCAGCATTGTGAATGGTTCATCCAGAGAACCGTTACTTCGGGCTGTATCCCGTAAAGTTGGTTGTGCTGGAACAGAATCTGGACAAACCTTTTTAGCGAAGTCGAATATCCATTGGGAGGAGTATTCTTCACTCTCATTGGAAGATGAGCGGTTTCGCATATAGCGAGCCTTGTTCCAAAGCGTTGTCATCGAGGTTTCTCTAGAAAGTCCCTCGATAAAAGAACGCCAGTAGTTTCGTTTCTTTGCTTTTAGTAAGTTTTTAAGCTTTTTTTCAAGCTTTAGATACTTTTCAAAAAGCTCAGATCTTTCATGTCTACGATAATCTTTAAAGGCATCGGATTTCTCAAGATACAACTTTGTGTATTCGTCATCCCATCCAGGGGTGGCGGGTCTTCTTTTGAGGGATGCACTTGGAACACGTCGTTTCTGAGCTTCTAATGCGCATTTGTAGATTAGTTCGGTAAAGAAACGGTATTCTTCCAGTGGTGGTGGAGGATCGGTAGAATCAATACCAAGAGTTACAGCCGATACAAATTTTTGCCAATCAATGTTCCTCGTGAGGTCAAAGGGAACTTGAATTGACTGATCTGTTTTTAGACGACCACTTTTGATTGAAATAGTAATTTGTAAGTGATCACTACCATGGGGATCATTGATAACCTTCCACAGACATTCTAATGATAGTGAGTTAGAGCTCAAAGATATGTCAAGACGGCTCTCTCGAGCAGGAGGGTTTGCTATACGTGTTGCTTCACCAGTGTTAAAGATAGTCAAGTTGAAATCGTCGCACAAATCATAGAAAATACCCGCTCTATTGTCATATAACTGATATTTACTAATTACTAATTAACTGATATTATCGGTCTGGTTGTCTGGTTGTCTGGACTGCCTCGTTCTGTCAGGTTGAAACTTTTATCACTGTCATTTTATCCATTGACAATGGCATAAATTGTTCTGTAAAAATTACTTGCAATAACATTTGCCAGCCCTGATTGAGACTACATTTTCAAGCCCAAATTGTTAAGCCGACAGTAAATATCAACAATCTTTACTTTGGACAGCCTATCGTTATGTTTGCAATCATGGTTTAAAAAGGCATTGGAATTTTGAAACAATCATCATGGAAGCCAACACCCAGCGAACTCGTATGTGAAATTGGACAAACAAATCCAACTTTCTCCGCATCCTTCTACCGCGTGACCATCCCGGGCTAACGGCTAGCAGTCTAGCAACAACGCTCCAAACAATGATGTTAATTGAATGGAACTGAACGAACTGAAAATTTAATAACTAAGGAACGCGATCGACCGACTATGGACTGTGGATACTTCGGAGTTCGTCGGTTGCGTGATGGGTGACCCGCGTGAAAGGTATCATTGTTCAACACGCAGCATGTGTTGACTTAATGTATCGGCGATAGGAATTGCATTGCCTTACGCCATGCCTGCTAGTAAAGTTCGAGAGCACCAGTTTAACTAACCTTCATAGAACGAATTGATTTATCGCCATTGGGCGCTGGATTTCTTTCT